GTGAGTGGATGTGTCTGTTTTGCACTCTTGATGTTTTAGAGTGTAACCCCTTCCTTGCTGTCCACTTTTTTACTAAATTGTAGTTGAATTATTGATTTTATTTGACATAGTTGCTGTGTTACAGGCACACCAGTTCATAGGGGTGTGTGTACAAGTGTGTGTGTGTGTGTGTGTGTGTGTCCGCGCATGTGTGAGTGGGTGTGTTGATTTTGCACTCTAGATGTTTTAGAGTTTCACCCCTTCATTACTGTGCTATTTTTTTCTGCATCGTGGGGGATTTGTAGATTGTACACACAAAAATGTTCTGTATTTGAATTTTTTTTTTGCCATTTCACATTCATTTCCTATGGTCGGTCATTTTTGACCGAAGACCATGAGTGTGACTATTTTTTTTATGAGCACTTAGCTGTTTCGAATCATGCCCTCCATTTTTTTGTGTGTTCACATACAAAGTGGCATAAAAGTCACCAAGTTTTGTACCATTCCGATGCAGTGATATAGTGCATGTCATTTATAGACTATGATAAACTGTAAATAAATTAATTAATTAATACATAAATAAAGCAGTGAAATGCATGGTAAAAAAAAAAAGTCAGCGTGGTTGCCAGATCTTCACTGTATTAAATTAGGTTTTATGGATTTACAGTAAATATTTCATGTACATAAAATGCCAACATACTGACGTACTAAATTCTGTTTTACTATAATTATATATATTAATACTAATATATACTGTAGATCATAACCCACATGACACTAATATAATGCAATAAACATTAATTTAACAACATAAGATGTAACATAAAACCCTAATTTACATAACTGATAAGAAAAAATAAGAAAATGTAAAAAGCACTAAAATGTGAAGTGTCGCATAGGGAATTCTGGGAATATCAATTTAGTTTTTTCACTGAAAGTTACAAGATAACTTTTTTTTTGCTTCCAAAAACTGTCAATTAAATTTTTTATATTTTTGCTAGACCTTCTCCAGTCTGAATTTAATTCAGTGTCCGACCAGCAATCTCTGTTTACATTCTTCAAAAATTTAATTAAATTAAATTAATTTAATTTAATTTAATTTAATTTAATTAATAAAAATGAATTAAAAATCAAATGAAATAAATGAAAAATAATTAAATTAAAAATGATAAAATAAAATAAATAAAAATAATTACATTAAAAATAATAAAATAACATAACAATCTATTTTCATGCTTTTGCCTGTATAAATCATCAGTTTCGTTGTATTAAAACGTTCAGCTGAAGAAAGTTGTGCAGGTTTGCAATGACATGAGGGTGAGTAAATGATGACAGAATGCATATTTTAGGGTGAACTGTCCCTTTAAATGTTGTATTGGTATCTGCTCTGGCAAGTTTACATGATTGTTGTGATTTGAGCACCTATTCAAATAAAACTAACCAGAGATTTGCACACACACACACACACTCTCTCCCTCAATCACACACACACACACACACACACACTCTCTCTAACACACACACACTCACACACACACACACACACACTGACCCCAGGAGGATGCCGTGCCATCAGGATGGGTGTGTTATGTATAAGTTAGTCAAGCTAAACTCATTTCTGCAGATTCACAGCTGAAAGACGCTCACGAACACTGAATAACTTTCTATTTCTGTAGCGTTTTATACAATACAGATTGTTTCAAAGCAGCTTTGCATTAATAAAACATGCATTAATAATGTTGCAAAATTCATCAATTGTGAAACAGCTGTAAAGCAGTTCTACAGAAGACAATAGAGTTATTATTCAGATCAGATTCAATGTTGATTCAGTTCAGCTATTTTTAAAAAATTAATCATAAACACCCATAAAAATGTGTCATGGTAAAATCATATTGTAGAATTATAAAATCATAAAAAATGAATCAAAGGAAACAGCGTACATCACTTCGAGCAATTGCAGAATTTCTGTGCTAATAGTGCCACCAAACAAAATGTAAAAGATGATGGTCGTTCAAACATAACTTTTTCACACCGTCTGTCATTGGTCAGTCAGACAGAGAGTCCCGCCCCTAGTTCAGGTGATTGGTTGAGTTAGAGATTGAGTCGAGTTGGGCCACTCAAACATAAAACAGTGTTTCACTCTTCTGGAAGTCAAACTACCAATGACTCACTCACTGAGTCAGCAGCTTTCAAATGGGAAATGGGAAAGAATAAACGAAAGGTTTTTATTGTATATGGTTCACCATGTGTGAGGTCAGAGGTCGGCGTGGGGTCAGTGCGGGGTCAGCTGTATTTGACCCATGGACAGGTGCCAGAGAGGTGGAGCGCTGTGTATCTCTGCAGCTGTGAGCAGGTGCAGTCGATTAGAGCCATGCAGGCCTCCACACGCACACTAACACACACACACACACACTCACACACACACACACTCACACACACGTACACTAACACACACACTCACACACACACACAC